CCTTACTACTAGGAACAAGAACGCTACTAGGGGCTCCTGGCCTTACTGCTCCTGGCCTTACTACTAGGAACAAGAACGCTACTAGGGGCTCCTGGCCTTACTACTAGGAACAAGAACGCTACTAGGGGCTCCTGGCCTTACTGCTCCTGGCCTTACTACTAGGAACCAGAACGCTACTAGGGGCTCCTGGCCTTACTACTAGGAACAAGAACGCTACTAGGGGCTCCTGGCCTTACTACTAGGAACAAGAACGCTACTAGGAACAAAAATAAGAAAGGACAAAAAAACAAAAAGACCAACGCCGGAGGCCTCAACCCCCCGCGCCCCACCTCCGGCCGAAGTCGAGGCACGGGAGGCACGGAAGGCAGCCTCCGATAGAAGCCACACACCACCTGAGAGCGAGATGAGGCAAGATGCCTTGATGCCCTGCACAAGAAAATGACAAGGAGTGGTGTTTATGTGACAAGTTCCTTCAAGCTACGGCTACGAGCAGGACACAGGATCTTGGAATAGTGAGACTTCTTCGTTCGAGGATTGCTGCTGGACAGGCCAGGTGAAAGCCAACACCGAACAAGCAAGAGCGAATCCTTAGACACACGCCAATGGCCTTTGAAGCTTGTTCAAATCGCCCTTCCGGGTCACGACATGTAACGACTTTCTCTGAAGTCTTTCCTTTTCTGGGTCACAACGTTTCAATGGATGAGAGTGACAGTTCTGGCTCCTCAAAGCAAATTCACTTTTGCAAAATGGTGGCCACCTTATTCAATGGAGAATGCACGTTGCTTCGGAAGAGAGCTTAACTCAACTCCCAAACTCCCCCGGACTTCAGACCTGGAGAGTCGTTCGAATCCGACTCGCAACTTCTGGAGACGCAGGCACTTATCGTCATGCTATACACACATGTTCCTAAAAATATGCCTGCACAGTGATGCATCGCCTCCCACACGAGCTAAGTGACACATGTTCAGGTTTGACAAATTGCATGTTTGTTTGTTTTTTCTTGTCCTCTTCTTTGCTGTTTTTTGCTTCGCTCATTCCCTTCCTCTTCCTTACCCTTTTTTAGTCACGTCCTTTGTTTGCACGTTTGTTCTGTTTCTTTGGGCCATTCAGAAATACTAAATTGGGTCTTGCTTGAGATCATCTTTGTTGCTCTTTGTTGCATTCTCATCAAAAGAAAGATCGGAAAGATTGTGTTCTATGTTTATAAGACTAAATGTGTACGTAGTTCAATACAAATGTGCTTTCCTTGTGGGACGTCTACTTCCATCCCTTCTGAGCTGATCTTCTGACAAATCCAGACCTTTCAGAAGTTAAATAGAGATGGACTTGGACCAAATGAATCATCAATAATCCGAAGGGGTCTTGGTCGTTCGGGATTCGTTCGTGGTCTGGTCTAGGTGATTGGAGATGTTTTGGCTTGGAGGGTCCACCTACCCGGTTTTACATGCAGTTAGATGCGAAAAAAGTGTTTGCAAGACATTGCTGAGATGAATGCACCAATGCCTCAGCCCGCAAACTATCCTGGCCAGACCGGAGAGACCCAATTTGACCTCCACATCTTGATCTGCC